ATGCTGATCTGTTCTGTACGACATCTATTGCACGTCTGTCCGTCCTGGAAGAGGGATCCCTCCTCAGTTGCTCTTCCTGAGGTTTCTACCGTTTTTTTCCCCGTTAAAGGGTTTTTTTGGGGAGTTTTTCCTGATCAGCTGTGAGGGTCATAAGGACAGAGGGATGTCGTATGCTGTAAAGCCCTGTGAGGCAAATTGTGATTTGTGATATTGGGCTTTATAAATAAAATTGAATTGAATTGAATTGAAAATCTCAGCAACCTTCACCTTTGACCCCTGAACACCAAAATCTAATAATGATAATGAACTTTTTTTATATAGCACCTTTCACAACACAGTCACAAAGTGCTGTACAATAAAACTAAACACATGTAGGAAAGTGAACAAAATAACGTCACCAAAGTAAAAGATAAAAGAAGGAAGGCCAAACTAAAATTGAGATGATAAATGGGAAATAACATCAATAAAACAGACAGACAGCTCAAACAAACTCAGGATATGCTTTCTGATACAAGTATGTTTTTAGGAGAGATTTAAACAAACACAGTGACTCAGACAGCCTCATATCCTCGGGCAGGTCGTTCTGGATGCTCGAGGGTCTGGTGGCAAAAGCTCTGTCCCTTGTGATCTTCAGTGTGGACTCTGGGACAAGCAGAAGACCTCTGCCCAAGGATCTCAAACTATGAAAATATCATAAGGGACTAACAGGTCTGGAGCCATGAAGAGTCTTAAAAGTAATCAATATGATTTAAAGTCAATCCTAAAACAAACAGCTGATGTAAAGAGGCTGAAACTGTTGTGATGTGGTCGTGTTTCTTGGTTTTAGTTAAAAGCCAAGCAGCTGAATTCTGAACAGGCTGTAGTTATTGCAAGGTTTTTTGACAAGACAGGAATAAAGTCTGCTGCAATAATCAAGACACAAAGAGATAAAAGCATGTGTAACAGTTTCTGTATCTCTAAAAGTTAAAATAGATCTTATTTCAGCAATATTTCTGAGGTGATGAAAACATGATTGAACAAGCTTAGTGACTTTTTCTTTAAAACAAAGTACTATTGAACGTGACACCAAGATTTCTTGCAACCAGCTTTATGTGTTGTGCCAGGTAACCAGTAGATGGCAGTATTTGTTTAGTGACCAAATTCCAAGGATTTCTGTTTTATCAGAATTGAGCTGAAGAAAATTTAACATCATCTAATTTTTCACATCACACAGACAGTCCTGTAGAGTGTGTTTTCTTGGTTGTGTTTATTTTATTTTTTCATTTTTATGAATGAAGCTCCCTATTCAATTATGGATTTATCACCTTCCTTAAATCATACCCTCTCCAAATTTTTCATTTTTATGTGCACATTAATTAAAAAATATTCGTTTACTTTGAAAAAAAAGTCTCTTCTGATTGAATTGTTGTTGGTTTGTTAGAAAAATCATTAAAAAAGAAAATTACAACAAAAAATAGATAAGGTTATTAAAATAAACCAGGCAGAGCTTCCTGCGCTTGAAGTCTGTCTTTACTCAGCTGTTGTCTGTTTCTGTGAATAAATACAACAACTAGGAGAAAAGAAAATCATCTGTTAAGGCAGTTATTTTTGGACCCAAACACAGACACGGACACCTCAGGTAGTTGCACAAAATAAGGGGATTTATTAGGAAAAACAAGGCCGGAGATGGCAGGGGACAGGCAGGCAGACGAGCTGGGTAGACGAGTGGAGGAATGAGTGACAGCTGTGTTTGTAGATGGCTGGCTGTGGAGATGGCGGCACTGGAATTCTGAGAGACAGGAGAAGAGACGTCAGATTTAGAAGCACAAGAGGAAAACACTGGAATCTCTCAATAACACACAGAATACTGAGCGGCTGGAGGTGTACCACAGACCTGGCAGAACAATCTGGCGCTGCATGGCTGGAGAGCTGGCTTCTTGAGCTGAGAGTAGATGAGGCAATCGCACACAGCTGTTAAGGTCCACCAGGTGCCTGATGATGATGCCATGCCCACAACACCCACAACACACACACAAACAGGGAGAGCACAGGAAAACTACAGGGGTCACAGCCTAAGCCGTGACAGAAACAGCTACAAAGTAAATTAGATCCAACAAAACAGTGAAGAATGAAACAATACGACTTATCATTAGTAATTTTTACAGACCAACAGTTGTAGACTGAAACTGTGGCTCATTGTGCCGACCCTTTTTTACAATAATCAACTCATCCGAGGCAAAAGTAATAAAAAAAAAGTTGATTTTGTCAAAGTTTGCATAAAAATTACACTAAAACAGAGAAGATCCCGAATGCTACAGATTAAATAATTACTTTCAGTAATTCAAACAACGTTTTCAGTTAATTATTGTAGAGTCAGTAACTTATATTTATCACTAGACAGACATGACTGGCATCAACATTTTGTCATTTAAAGAGGAAAATATCATGACGGACAGTTTGACTGCATATCAGCCAATCACTGATATATCTGTATTGATATGTTTGCCAAAAGGAAAGTTTGCTATTCAGAATTGTATAGTTTATCTTGGACGTCGTATGTGGACGTGGAAAGTCCATGACCAAACATCGATATGTGACGAGATCGGAGTGAGAATGTGTTGTCTACTGTATATACAGCGCAGTACAGTACAAGGAGGAACAAAACTGTATTTCCCTCGTCCCCGGTGCCAAACAAAAAGAACCTAACATAAGGCGCAAACAACGAGATATAAAAACAGGTAGAGAACAAGTTATGTACAAACAATGAAAAAATATAAATGTACAAAGTATTAATGAATGTAATGAGAACATGGAGAAAAAGGAACAAATATAGGATATGTCCTGGTCATCAACACTGAACATACAAACATGTCCACTGGGAAATTTTCAGTTGTGAAACATTTTTTAAATAAGAAGGCTTCAACATTTTCTATTTACAATCAGTAATGTTGGAGTAACCTTAAGGCCCCATGTCCAACAAAGCATTTTTCCTTGACCCCATGTATGTGCTTTAATTCTTTGCAATGGGAGTGCCGTGTATTTACGCTACGCTACAAACGCCAGCAGAATGACGAGGCGCTGAATGTCTGTTCTGCACTGAGCGCTGCCCATTTGCCATTTGTTTCAGCACCAAGAGTTACAAAATGTTCAACTTTGGGTAAAATACCCTGCTTGTCACTGTCCCTTTTTATCCAGCTGTCCAATCACAGCGGAGGAGGGGTGAGACAAATACCACAGAGACCAACCTTCACATCTTACATGTACAAGTACTGAACAACAACAAGGGAGGAGACATATGTTTATATACTGTAGGCTGTATATTACTGTTTCCTCTCATGAACCCACATAGACCAGTGGGTCAGTCATTTCTCACTACATGCTTCAGCCTTCCCTTCTTCCAGAGTAAGCACTCTACCTTGTGCCTACATTTTAATTTGCCTAGTGTCCCATATCAACCAAAACGTCTCAGCTAAAAAAATATGTTGTTTCCAAAGCGCTCTCAAACGCTCCCAGCTGGGTGTTTCCTGAGGAGCACTTGACTTTTTCAGCTGGGAAAAACTGCTTCGGTGGACACAGCTCCTAAATCCATCTTGTTCGAATGAAATGCTCTAATTCTCCAGCATTCAGACTGCAGAGGTTGAAATATCTCAATCGACTGCAGTGGACATTAAAAAATTATGAATGTTAAAAAAAGAAAAAAAAACAACAACCCCAGTTTGGAACCAGAAGTGTACAAAACAAATCTGTTCGACTAGTGCTACTGTACAGCTGCTAAGTGTAAATAACTGAGACAACAGGAGTCAAGACACAAAAAACAGGACAGCTGAAGACAACCCAATCCATGTAGGTAAAGATAAAAATGGTTAATACAAACAGACAACAGTTGAAACTGGGCTGCTGTTGGGACACAACATACAGTGTCTCACAGTATTGAACACCATCCCCCAGCAGTGTTCTCTATGGTCAAAAGTTTTTCTTTCAGCTCATTCATTTCTTTTTCGTGTTTTTTCTGCAGTGCCTCTATTTCTTCTCTCTCACTGTCTTCATCTTCGGTCATCAGCTGCTGTTTTGCCTCATTCATCTCTTCATCATGTTTTTTCTGCAGTTCATCAATTTTTTCTCTCTCATTTCTTTTATTTTCTTCCAGAAGTTTCTGTTTGAATTCATCCAATTTTTGCTCATGTTCTTTCTGTAATTTGTTCAGCTGTTCCTTCTGGTTTTGTTGCTGTTGGGTCAACAATTCTTTTTTCAGATCAATAATTTGTTGCTCATGTTGGATGGACATCGTCTCCCGTCTTACGTGCTTATCGTCTTTGGTTTGGGTTGAAACTTCCTTGTCCAGGGCTTTCATTTCTTGATTCTGTTTTTTCTTCAGTTTTTCCATTTGTTCTTTCTCTTTTCTTTTGTTTTGGGTTAAAAGATCTTTTTTAAGGTTCTCCTCCTCTTTTTTGTGTGCTTCCTGCATTGCATTAATTTGTTTTCTGTTTTCTTCTTTTTGGGTCAGAAGTATCAGTATCAAGTCGGCCATTGCTTGTTTGTGTTTGTCCTGTAGCTCATCGATATTTTGTTTCAGACTTTTTTCTTTGTGGGTTGAGAGATCGTTCAACCTGTCGTATTCCTCTTGCTTCTTTTGCATGTCTTTCTTCTGCTGTTCCTTCAGATCCTCGACTTCTTTCATGTGTTCTTTGATCATAGCTGCAAAGTCCTTCTTTTTTGTCTCTCTGAATTCATTGAACTCTTCAGCTTTATTTCTGGCCTCCTCCTCGTACTTATTCTTCATTTCCTCCAGTTTTGTCTTATAGTTTTCCTCCAACTCTTTCCACTTCTTCTCCTCCTGCTCCCTTCTCATTTTATCAGCTTTTGTTTTGTTTTCATATTTTTCTTTCTCCTGGTCGTATTCTTCTTTAAGCTTTTTTCGTCTTGCTTGCTCCTCCTTTTGTCTCTGTTCATCTTCTTGATCTCGTTTCTCCCACCATTCTTTTTGTTTTCTCTCCCAGTTCTCTCGTTCTTTCCTCATCACCTCTCTGCTCTCCTCCAGCTTTCTGTCAATAGTTTCCTTTGATTCCGACTCTGATCTTATTTGTTGCTCCAAAGCTTCAACTTTTTGTTCCCACTCTTGTTGTTGTAATTCTTCCTGTTGTTTTCTCTTCCTGTCTTCTTCTTCTCTCATTTCCTGTTCTTTCTTTCTCTCCTCACGTTCTTTGTTGATGTTTTTCTGCATTTCTTCAAGTTGTTTTTCTTTCTGTTTTCTCTCCTTTTCAGTTTCTGCTCTCTGCTCTTCCATTCTTCTCTTCATTGCTTCCATTTCTTCCTCATATTTTCTTCTCAGCTCCTCCCTCTCCTTCTTCATCTCTTCTTCCTTCTCCTTCAGGATCCTCTGCACTTCTTTCTTTATAGCTTCCTCGGCCTCTTGCAGCATCTCATTAGTGTAGCAGCTGCCTCCATTTGTCTTCACCATGGTGTCAATCTTGATTATCAACTCACTGACTTGTTTGTGGTTGTGTTTATCATAGTTATTGAACACATGGTATCTTCCTCCACAGTCAGCAATCAGCTTCTTAAAGGAATCATCACATTCTTTTTCAATGTATTCTTCAATAGACATCTCCTCATGTTCCAGTGAATCTCCTCTGGTGAAAAGAATGATGGTGAACTGTTCAGCATTGTTCCCAAAGCCTTCCTTGATGAGTTTTAATGTCTCCTTCTCCTCTGATGTTAATCTGCCGATTTGTAACACCAACAGGAAGACATGTGGTCCTGGAGCCAGATGACTGATGCATTTCACCATCTCCTCATTAACCTCTTCATGGGACAAAGTTGTGTCAAACAGACCAGGAGTGTCGACCACAGCAACAGGACGACCGTCCACCTCACCCACTGCTTTCTGACAGTGTTTGGTGACTGATGTTTGGCTTGATTTGGCTTTAAACTTTTTTCTTCCTAGGATGGTGTTTCCTGAAGAACTCTTCCCACAGCCAGTCTTCCCTATCAGCACAATCCTGAGACACTCTGGGCTCTGCTCCTCTTCATCACCTGTAACATCAGAAGAACTGAGTTACCTTGAATATTCAAAGTTTCTACAGTATAGTCTCAAGGCTCTAAAGCCTGATGTCCGATTGGACATGAGACACCTATGATTAGTGTTGCTCAACAGAAATGAAACAAATTTTCACATGAAAATAAAGTGTCATGCGACACTTTCCTTCCATGTCACACACCTTTGTTGCACAGTGTGGTTGGTAGCATTACTATTGTCGCCTCATTGTAAATCCACAATGACTCTGACTTGCATTCAGCATCTCTGTCCACAGAAGCAGCCGTTTGTCAGCGGCAGCTCCTGAAGAGCTGAGAGAACAGCAGCTGGCCAAACTGTCTTCACCAGGCTGACTGACAGCAGATATTTACAAAACCAAAGTAGTTTTCATGTCAGCGCCACGGGAAGAAATCAACTGTGTTTGTATTTATTGATTCATTGATTTTATTTCCGATGTGTCCTGAGGTGGGTCAGAACACATCGGGCTCTAGTTTCGCAGACCGGGCGCAGCGGAGGCGCAGCGCACCTGCACTTCGCCAACTGGGTGTGGCCAGGTGGATTTTGTAAGTTTGGCACACCGTGCGCCTGGCGCAGCTACTCCTCTTTCCCACCTCCTACCGGCGCAAGTCGGAAAGAGGGAGGAGAGAAGGCGTGGAGTGGGTTTTACACACATCACATCAGATGAGCCCCTCTCCTCGCCCTTAAATGCGCCGCGTGAAGGTGTAATGAGAGTTTACTCAATTCGCCATCGCAGAAGAGAGCAGCAGCGTCAGACAGCCAAACTCCTCCCAGGAGGAAACTGATGTTTTGGTCCGGGAGGTCCAAGCTCGCAGTGTCCAAATATACGGAACTGCGAGCAGACCTCCACGGGCTGATGATGCAAAGGTAGCCTGGGAGGAGGTCACCACAATTGTAAATCAATGTTGCGTTTCTCTCGTGCGTGCGCTCTCTCTCTTTCTCTCTCGCAGTCTCACTCTGTTTCTTTTCTTTTGGCTTTTCTAAGATGACAGATGCTGAATATATACTCCCTATCTGATGCTGTGGCTGTTTGTGGTTGGCTGAGAGGGATGTGAACTCATTAGTTTGCAGCTGTTTAATCAAATCAGGTTGGGTTTCCATTACGCGTGCCAAACGTGCCAAACGGTGCCAATCCCCTTTGATCTGACATCAGATGTGACGGGACAGTCGAT